TGTGACTGTGTGTGACGTGTTAGTGTGTTGGTGTGTGTCTGCCGCGTGCAGCGCTCACACCTGGGTTTCGTAGGTGCCATCGAAGCTGTCGAGCTGGCGAGTGAGGCCGAAGTCCGACACCTTGCAGCACAGGCTCTGGCTCACCAGGATGTTCCTGGCTGCCAGGTCCCGGTGGACGTAGTTGTGGTCACTGAGGTAGCTCATGCCGGACGCTATGCCCTGCAGCATGGTGGTGAGCTGTCCCGGGCTCAGCTGGTCCTCCCGCTCCTGCAGTGAAGCGGACACGTCAGGGGGTGCTGGGCCCCGAGCTTAGGGCGTTTCCAGGCACCTGCACCTGCTTACCCGCAGGAAGACATCCAGAGCGCCCTTGTCCATGTACTCTGTGATGATCATGATGGGCTTTCCTGGGCAGAGCACATGCAGTGTCAGGGTGTCCACGCGCCTAGCCCTGTCCCCTCCATCCTCAGGCTTTGTCCCATCTTGCCTCCCACCTGTGGGGACCCCCTCCATACTCTTGGTGACCACGCCTTCCAGCCTCAGGATGTGGGGGTGGCTGAACTGGCCCATGATCGTTGCCTCCCGTAGGAAGTTCCACCACTGGCCATCAGGGGACGTGTCCTTCAGGGTCTTGATGGCCACTGTCCTGCATTCCTGGTTCGGGAGCCGAAGGGAGCCTCGGTAGACCTCCCCAAACTCTCCTGGGTGGAGGGGAGCAGGGTCACCCCCAGGGCAGGCCGGGCCCCCAGATGGACAGGGAGGAGCTCCAGCCCCCCATGCCCTTTTCCTGTCTCTGGAGGGACGGGGGGTGGGGAGGGAGGGAGCGCCCCTCTGCTACCACCGTCCTGAGTGACAGAGTGCTTGGGGAATGCGCTGTGTGTGCACCAGGCACGGAGATGAATGGAGAACTGGGGGCCTGCGGACTGGGAGATAAACAGATGACTCAGGAACCCAGGGCTGAGGCTGGAGGACTGGGAGACAGAGAGGAGCAGGGGCCTGATGGAGGGCCAGGGCCTAGAGGGCTAGGGGATGGAAGGGCCTGGGGACAGAAGGGCCGGGGCCAAAGGGGTGAGGGACAAGGGGCTGGGAGAAAGAAGGGCCAGGGGGCAGAAGGGGCTGCGGATGGAAGGGTCTGGAGTCAGAAGGAGTTGGGAAACAGAGGGGCTTGAGCATGGAAAGGGCTTGGGCACAGAAGGGCTGGGACAGAAGGGCCAGGGGGCAGAAGGGGCTTCTGGATGGAAGGGCTAGGGATAGAAGGGCCAGGAGAGGTGCAGGGCAGGCGGTCACTTGCCCCGCTTTTGCGGCCCTGGTCACAGCTGGGCCCAGCTGCCCTGCCAGCATGCACACTGTGAGCTTTGTTCCACCAGATCCATTTCCCCAGTTGGCCCCAGGGACCAGGGCAGCACAAGGACACGAGGGCCGGCGTACACTGTGGACTAGGAGCCTGGCACTCCTGCATCCGGGAATTCTGAGAACCTCAGCTGAGAGGGATCAGGTGGAGCCCTGGCCAAAGCAGGCAGGCTACTGATGAGGCAGGGCAGCGGGGGGCCCTGGGGGTGATGTGTGGGGTGGAGGTGGGGGAGGGGCAGGGCCTGTAGGAACCACCCAGAGAGTGCAGGGGTCACCTTCCCCGATGACTGTGTCCACGACCAGTCCTGCCGGGTCCAGCTCATGTGTGAAGTCCAGCGCGCCTTGGGCTGGGTCATCATACGCCTGGAGGTCCACATATGGCTTCAGCCAGAGCTTGTCCTCTGTGGAGAACAGGGCGCTCTGCTCAGTGACTCAGATCTATCCCCTGAGGGGTGGGGTACCCAGCTCAGGGCCCCAGATCTATCCCCTGAGGGGTGGGGTACCCAGCTCAGGACTCCAGGTCTGTTCTCAGTGGGGGGTGGGGAATCAAGCTCAGGGTTCCAGGTCTGTCATCTGGGGGAATGCAGTGCCCTGCTCAGGGACCTCGATCTGTCCTCTGTGGGATGGGGTGCTCAGGTCAGGGGCCCCAGAGCTAGGGATGGTGAGAAGGAGGGTCCTAAGGACAGGGGGCATTGAGCCCTTCACTTGAGTGACCATGGCTCTTCCCAGTGCCCCGTCCACACTCAGAGCTGCTGTGTCCTCAGGAGTCCTGTGTCGGCTTCCTCCTCATGCAGCCCGTCATCCTCACTTCATGGCCGGGTTCCGGCTCAGCCCCGCCACTCATTAATGAGGTGGCAGCACGAAGCCTGGACGCTCAGGGCTGTCCTCCTGACCAGGCTTAGCTCAGGGGACAAGCTAGTGGGTAGAGCTGCTGCCCAGAGTTGACCTGGTGGCTAACAGTCTTCACCACCCCTCGTCTCCGGGAAATCAACCACAGAGGCCATCAATCAGCCACAGCTAATTAGCAGAGCACAGAGCCCACGGGGCAGAGAACTCTGTGTTCGCTGAGCTGTCCCCGCACACGAGGGATCCTAGGTGCACTCCCTCACCCCCTCTCCCTGCCACCAAACACAAACCTGTACAAACAGCTTTGCACAGACAAAGGCGCTCACATACGGACATAATGCAGATATAAACGGCCCACATTTGCACATGTGGTTACATGCATGTGCATGCAGGAGGTGCACACACAAATGCTCATGAAGACACATGTGTTCACATGCAGACACGTGCAGACATAAGTGCCAATGCAAAGCTGACATTTGTTCACGTCTGTTCACATAAGACGTGTGTATACACAAAGCCACACACACAAGCTCATTAATAGGCAACCACACACATAAGTGCACACACATGAATGTACACAGGGCACACATTTTTGCAAACATTCACGTACAGGCACCTGCACACCTACACGTGCCCCAAAAAAGTAAGCGCACACACACACGCTTGTACACACAGGGCACATGGGATCATACACCCATGCTTGTGCACATACACAAGGGCACACACAGGCACATGAACACCTACATGTGCCCACAGAAAGCACACGCACGCACACACACACACTTGCATACACAGGGCACATGGGATCATACACCCATGCTTGTGCACATACACAAGGGCACTCACAGGCGCATGAACACATGCACATACAGTGCACACACATGTACACAGACACACATTTGTGCACATACATGTTGACACAAGAAACACACACCTCTGTGTGTCACACACCCTCACCTCGGTCCGCATCGGGGACACGCTCACGCTGCCTCTGCTGCCGCCTCCGCCGGGCTCTCCTGTTGGGGGTGCAGCTCCTTCAGACTCCAGGGCCACCTCAGGCCTTCAGCAGAGCCTGGGTGCTGGGGCCACACTGGTGGGGCACTCTCTGGGATGAGGGGTGGGTCAGGATGGGAGAGAGACACACGTGGTACCAGGGTGGGAGAGCTGGGCTATAGGGAGCTCGGGGCGGGCACAGGGAGGATGGGGTGTGGCTCATGGAGCTCCTGGCGGGCACAGGGAGGGGGCGGGACCAGTTGGGCAAACAGCACCTGGACTGGAAGACAAGGATTCCCAGCAGCAGCGCCACGCCCAGCAGGAGTCCGAAGATGACGGCTACAATCTCCCCTCCTGTCAGGGCCCTGGAAGCTGGGGCAGGAGTGGGCTCAGCCGGGCAGGACTGGGCTCAGGTAGGTCTGGGGGCTGGGCAGCAGTGGGCTCAGGTAGGGCGAGGGGCTGGGGCAGGAATGGGCTCAGCTGGGGCTGGGATAAGAGTGGGCTCAGGGCTGGGGAATGAGTGGGCTCAGCTGGGGCCGGAAGCCGGTCAGGACTGGGCTCAGGTAGGTCTGGGGGCTGGGGCAGCAGTGACAGCCAGCTCAGCGGGGCTGCCTGTACCTGTGCAGTGGGAGATGTGTGTGCACGTGCATGTGTGTGTGGTGTGCCTGACGCAGCTCCTGTGCGTGTATGTGTGTACATGCGTATGTCCGCTGCACACAGATGGCCCTGGGCCCTGGAGCCAGCAGAGTGGCGGTGTGGAGCAGCAGAAGCTCTGAGTGTTGGGCAGAAGTGGAGAACTCACCGGAGGGGCTGGTCCGGAACTCGTGGCTGGGGGAGAAGGGGCCGGGGCCCTGCGGGGTCATCATGCGCACTCGGACGATGTACGTGGTGTCCGGCTGCAGCTCGGTCAGCAGCACTCTGGGCTCCAGAACTGTCTGGTGACGCTCTTCGTCCTGCAGGCGGGTTCGTGTCAGCCAGGAAGGGGCTGGAGCCGGGAGCCCCTGGGGAAGGCTGCAAACAGACTCCCTCTGACCTGGTTCAGCACGTGCAGCTCGTAGGTGAGGTTGCCCCCCGGGCTGCGAGCTTCAGCCCCCGCCCAGGCCAGCTCCAGCTGGCGTGGCGATTTTCGTATCAGATGCAGGGACAGGGCGGCCAGTGGCTCTGGGAGGAAAGGCTGGGGTGAGGGAGGTGGAGGGGCGGCAGGAGTCCTCACCTGCTGGCCTGTCCCTCACCTCACCTGTGCGATCCATGCTGATACCGAGCATGGCGCTGGCAGGCCTGGAGGTGCTCAGCCCCGACACCCCATTCTGGGCCACGACCTCAAAGGTGTAGTTGGTAGAGGGCTGGAGGCCGTCGATGCGCACTGCTGGCCGGGGGAGCCCGCTGGCCCCTGGGGAGAAGCGCACGTCGCCCCCACAGGGCTGGCAGGGGCCCCCATCCTGGCCCATCCCAGGGCACCGGGAGCACCTCACACTGTACCTGATGTCCTGGCGGCCCCCCAGGTCTGCTGGGGGTTCCCAGCGCAGTGAGAGCTGCATCCCCGACATAGCAAAGGTCAGGTCTTGGGGGGCTGACGGGGGCCCTGTGGGAGGGGAAGTCCTTCAGCGGGGGCCATGTCCCCCACCCCATCTGGAGCTCCTGGTCCTCCAGGGACCTTGGGGGTGGAGAGGGCTCAGTCCCGTCCTCTCCCCCCTCCCCCCCACCCCCGGACTGTGGTCAGAGAAGAGTGGGCTAGGATAAGTCCTGGGTGGTCCCCACGGCAACCAGTGCTCAGTGTGGCAGCTAGTGGCCCTGCTGCCAGGCCAACCCACCTGTGCAGGCCACCTGGGGGCCCTCCCCAGGGGCTCGGTAGTAGCCAGTCTCACAGGTGCAGATGGTGGCCCCCTCCACTGCGGCTGAGCTGTGCTGGGGACACTTGAGGCAGTGGGCAGTGTCCACGTCAGCCCGGTAGGAGTCTTGGGGACAGGCTGAGGAGGGAACAAAGGAGAGCCCAGGTGATGGCTGATGGACCACGGATGAGACCTCAATCTGTCCAGCACACCTGAAACACCTGGGCGGGTGTCTCCGAGGGTGAGAGCCAAAATCGCTCTGAGCCAGAGCCCACCGTGCCAGCCTATGCCTCTCACTCATCCTGCGTCCTCACCTGCACAGCCCCTTCCCCGTGTCCTCTTGGAATCACTCCACACCCAAACCTGTTACCCCTGCACCCTCCCTGTCACCCCCACCCCTGTTGGCCCCATGCCTGCAGCTGTGGTTTCTGTACCCTCACCTGTGCAGCCTGCTCACCCAGGGTCTCCCCACATCCTCACCTGTCACCCTGCACCCTCACCTGTACAGCCTGCTCCCCCAGGGTCCTCCTGGAAGCCTAGCTGACACCGGCACTGTCCCACGGGCACTAGCCACTCGCCATCCGGGCTGCAGTGCAAGCGGGGAGCCCCGGAGGGGCCGGCCTGGGCATTGGCCACACAGGTGCCCTCCACCTCTACGAGCCCGCCTGGGCCTGGGAGTGTGCCAGGGAAGTGAGCCAGGCCATGCTGGGTGTCAGGGCAGCGCTGGTAGAAGACCCTCACAGACACCAGTGCCACACAGGCCCCGGGGTTGTGGAAGGCCAGGTAGAGGCCACGGCGAGCCAGGCGGCCCAGTGAGCAGCGCTCCACGTTGAGCTTCATGGCGCCCAATGCCACATCCCGGCTGGTGAAGCTCTGGTCTGCGGCCACCGTGGTCACCTGGTGGGAGAGGGGGCTAGGTCATGGTCCTCGGAACTGCTGTCCAGCGAGGGGGCTGGCTGTGAGAGGTGACCCTTGGGTGGGGACCTCCTGACCTGCCCCTGAGCCCCTACAGCCACCCTGTAAGATGGGACAGGACAGGCAAGCTTGGCCAAGTCACACAGCTTGTGGAAGGGCCAGTGACAGGGCTGCCTTGAGGGGCTCCTGCCTCGGACCACAGGCTGCTCCATTATAGAGCGTGGCATCATAAAAAAATCCCAACAAACTGCGCCGTTTTATTGGGGGGCACAGAGCTCACTGAGCCAGCGGCCTGTTCCCCACTGCAGCCAGGAGGCTTTCAAGTTGGAAGGGCAGGGGGCTCTGCTGGGTTGTGGGGTGCTGGCCACATGCCCCACCCCTGGGCATGCCTCCCACCTAATCCTACACCTGCCTCCTACGGTGCCGACTCATAGAAACCCTGGAGAACAGAGAACTGCCCCGAGGGGCTGCAAGGCTGGACTCAACAACAGAGTCCTGCTGCAGCAACCAAAAGATTAGCAGTTCAAGTCATCGTGGAGGCCAGTCTTCCCCTGTGAAGGCGTATAACCAAGGGGCCCTGTGACCCTGTGGAGGTACACAGCCGTGGAGCCCTGTGAAGCCCACTGTGGCCTGGACGTGACACCAGGGAGTTGTTTTGTTATTGTTTGGTTTGTTGGGGTTTTAAAGTTTCTAGAGATAAGAACCCTGGTGGTGCAGAGTTTGAGTGCTCTGCTGCTGACGGAATGATCAGGGCTCAGACCCAGCACTGCCCCGTGGGGGGAAGATGTGGCCGTGCGCTCGCCCTCCAGTTGAGGAAAGCCTGGGGACCAGTTCTGCCGTGTCCCACCCATCGCCTCTGTCAGAACTATTTCACGGCCATGGGTTTGCGTCCTGGAGTTGAATTTCCAGGGCAGCAGGCTTCCACCCCATCATTCTACTGAGGAGAAGCTCAACTCTGAGCCTTCCGGTGGCAGCTGGTTGCTTCACAAGCTCCCGAGTTCCCTGGCATCCCTGCGCTCTCTCCTGAAAGCTCTGGGCACCCACTGGCACCAGGGCCTTCTCACAGCAGGGCCAGGGCGCAGCAGGCAGTGGGTGGACAGGAATCCTGACCTGTCTGGCCTGCTGGTATACCCTGCCTCTCCTGTTGGCCTCCTCTCTTCAGGGTGTCAGGCAGGAAAGGGGGTGAGGGCCAGACCTTCTGGAACATGGTCCGGCGGAGCTGGATGCCCACGTCCTGGTCACTCTCCATGTAGAACAGGCTGAAGGTCTCCTTGCAGCTGGCCGGCCCTGAGCCGCGTGGGAAGCTCTTGCAGTCTCGGACCGTAAAGCGTAGCTCCACGTGCACGCGGGCTGTGGCCTCGCCACGGTAGATCCAGTTGGTGCGCAGCCAGTGGTCGGCGTCGCCGCTGTCCTCCAGCGGGCAGTCCTGGTACATGTACAGCGGCGTCCCGTTGAGCATTTGCTGCACCTCGTTCCACTGTGTGTGCAGAGGGGGTGGCAGGGAGAGATATGGTCAGGGCTGCTCCCCAGAGCGATGGAGAGGGTGGGGGCCTGGCCTCCCCACCCCACCACCGGACAGTGTCTATGTGAGCTGGGCAGGACACTCCTGATGGCCTGTCCAGGCCTGGCCCCCTGTGATGAGTGCCCTCTGCCCGCAGGTCTCTGAACAGCACTGAGGCACAGCGCACAGCTCACAGCTGAGGTACCTTGGGCGCCTCTGAAGCCTGCAGCCAGGAGACACCGGGTTTCCCAGCGCACAGAAGCCATGCGCACTGTGCTGCAGGCCGGTGAGGGTGCAACAGCACGGCCCCAGATCCGAAATCCTGCGATTTACCAAAATGAGATGGGAGTGAGCACAGGCTAGGGCAGGGTGGCCACAGAGCTCCAGTGTGTGAAAACCAGACGACCCCTGCACTGCCCGCACACGGCAGGAGAGCCAAGTCAGCCTGCATCACGGTGACAGGGCCACGGGGAACCCCAAAGTCTGATCTTTGTAGCACAAGCTTGTTCCCAAAACCTGCTGTGTCTGTGTTCAGAGAATGGGGGTTGATGAATCTTAAAGCCCCCCAGGTTTTAGGGGGGAGGAGTACTGCTCTTAGCCAAAGTACTGGACACAGCATGGATGACCGATGGACAAACAAATAGGTCTTGAAAGAAGGACAAGCACAGTATTCCTCAGAGGGAGGGAAGGTGAAGCTCCGTGTCACGTGCTTTGGACATGCTGTCCGGAGGGGGGCCATGGGAAAGGACATCACGGTGGGGAAGGAAGAGGGTCAATGAGAGAGAGGAAGACCCTCAACAAAACACATTGACACAGTGACTGACAACGGGCTTGCGCACGTCAGATGCTGAACAGGGTGCAGATCTGTCGTTCACAGGTCGCTGTGGACCATGGTCTACTTGATGGCATCTAATAACTCGCCCTCTCCAATGCCTCTGCCACAGTGGCCATTGTCAAGGTCACCCACTGCCAAAGCTGGCCCAGCTCTAATTCTCTACTTAATTCTCCTCCAGTTTCTACAGCAAAACCACTTTCAAAACTTAGCGGTAATTAGTAAGAGTGGTTCACGTGATGCAGCCAGTTCTAAGCTCTTTCCTCAGGGAATCTGAAGCACAGAGCGGGTCAACAGCTGTCCAAAACTATGAGTGGGTACTGTCAACTCTGAGCCCAGACACTTCACCAGTCTGCTGGTTAAGGAAAGTCAGATTTACATGCAAGAAAGAAACCTTAGCTCTTCTTGTCTCTACATCATGAGTATTTTTTAAAAAGAAGTCTTTGTAAGATGCCACATAAGCAGATTGCTGGTATGTGCCATTAAGTCGACTAGAACTCACAGCAAACCTCTGGACAACAGCTCTGACCCCGGCCTTATTCCGAGCCAGTCTGTCTCTGACACACATGGTACTACTGCCACAGTCACTGGGTCAACTCATCTCATCCAGCTTCTTCCTCTCCTGTAATGTCCCTCCACCCTTCCAAGCATGATGTCCTTCTTCTAGGATTGGCCCCTCCTGGCAACAAGCTCAAAGGATGCGAGACAGAATTTAAAAACCCTTGCGTTAGGAGCAACCTGGTTTCATCCTCTCCAGGAGAGACCTGAGTTCTCTCGGCAGCCCGTGGCATGTTCAGCATTCGTCTCCAGCACCACTCAAGGCACTGAGTCTGCCATCCGAGTCACTGTGCATTCATAGATGTAGTGTTTTTGGGCAGCCCACGCACTAGCACAGTATCATATGGATGTGCCATGATTTATGACAGGATCCCTGCTGGTGTCGTGCGCAATTGGTGTCTCAGTAACTGCAAGATCAAGAATTCGAATCCATCAGCTGCTTCATGGGAGGATGAACAATCTCTTGCTGTGAAGATTTACAGAACGTGGTTGGAGGGTCGCTTTGAGTCTGGCCCCCCTTGGGTGGCCGTCGTCACTCTGTACCGTTGAGTACATCTCCTGGAGACCCTTTGAACCACAGATCTAGATGGGTGCTGCAGTGGTTAAAGGCCTAGTATGCTAACCAGGTCAGTGGTTTGAACTCCCCAGCCTCTCTAAGGCCGAAAGATGGGGCAGTCTGTTTCCGTAAAGATATCCCCTCTGGAGCAGCTCAGCTCTGCCCTGGGGGGTTGCTCCAAGTTGCAATCGCCTTGATGGGTGCTGCGGAGTCAGTTCTGTCTTGTTGAGACCTGATTTGGTCTTGTAGAGCCCCTGGGCACAGCAGAACGGAGCTGTGCGCACGCTTCTCGACTCCCGCTTGCGGAGTGCCTGGGGCCACTCTCAGCAGCTATTTTGTACGTGGATTCGTGTTTCACCCCCCCCAGGTTACCACGCATGCTGTCCTCTTCCAAGGACTGCTCTTCCGAATACCAGTCCATTTATCTGGTCGCCTAATGATGGACTCTTTTGAGGTTTCCAGCTAGTTTTTTCTGAAATAAAAATGTCTAGATTTCTGTAAGGCTGTTGGATTAAAGAGCTTTTGTTAGGTGCCATCAAGTTGAGTACGATTCATAGCAACATATCTGAACCCTGTTCTATCCTGTGCCATCCTTATCTCATACACTGGAGCTGTGCTGCAGTCGCTGTGTCGATTCACCTCGCTGAGGGTCTTCCTCTATTGCTGACCCTCCACCTTTCCAAGCATGACAGCCCTCTCCAAGGAACAGTCTCTCCTAAGAACACGCCCAAGGTATGTGCCATCCCTGCCTCCATAGGACATCCTGGTGGCACGGGCTCCAGGACCTGTCTGTCTGGTGTTTTGGCTGTTATGGGATGGATAGCTAGAACTCTGCTCCAACACCACTGCTCAAACGCATCAACTCTTCTGGTATCTGTATTCATTGTCCAGCTATCAGAACCACAGCAGGTGACTGAAAAGACTATAGCCTGAATCAGCCTTCAAACAGTAAAAGGCGAAAGATTTATTCGATCTGAAGAGAAACAAGAGTATCAGCCTTCAAACAGATAGCACTGCTTCTCAGTCATCTCGAGAGGTCCCTGACTACAGACTTTCCCTAAGGCACTACGTCTGTCTCCTGATCTCCTGAATGCTGCCACCAAGTGTGTTCATTGTGGATCCCAGTAAGATGACGTTATGGACAATCTCAATCTTTTCTCCATCCATCATGTTGTCTATAGGTCCAGTGGTGTAGACATACATATGTCCCAAGATTTTGCCAAACTGTCCCCCAGAACAGTTCTATGCACCTGCACCCCTATCAGCAAGAACTCTCATTTTCCCAGAACCCCAGCCACACCGGATGTTACTAGCGACCTTTGTCCTTCTTGCCAATCCTATAAACAAGTCCTCCGGTGGCCTAGTGGGGAGGGAGCTACACTGCCAAGTCAAGGGTGGCAGTTTGAATCCACCAGCTGCTCTGGAGCAGGATGGGAAGCCGTCTCCCGCCGTCCGAGGCTGTGTGGTTTAGCCTGTGTCAGTTCCGACTCGGTGGCAGTGCGTGACAGGCAAGGGCAGTCTCATCCCCTGGTCACTGGCCTTCTCGGAGGGGCAGCACCTGCTCTCCTCTGCTCCTGGGGTGTCTGCCTTTTCTGCCATCATCTGGGGCCACTCCGGCTCATCCTTCCACTGTTCTCTTCCAGTCATGCATTTGCATTGGCTTCCCTTTCCACCTTCCAGGATTAATCATTTGCTGGGAAGGTAGGCCTGAGAGATTTTCCCTGCTGGCCACCTGCCATGTAATGGCATCTTTCATGTTGACACACATTTGCAATTTTCACGTAATGACACCTCTCACCTTCCCCTTGATGATTTCTGGGCTCTCACCTGGGAAGATGTCCCATCCCAAGACTTGTAAAGATCTTCTCTGGGCATCTTGGTAGCTTGGGGTTTTGAGACTTACATTTGTAAGCTCTTTAGAATGTCTTCTTGTTCTTCTGCACACGGTATGAAGTGCAAGGGTAACTTTACTGTGATTTTTTTAAAAAATAAACATTGTGGGCTCTGATTGTGGGCTTTTTGATTCCCCCACTTTCTACACTGAGTGGCAATCTCGCTGGGTCACATCTGGACCTCATGAATGTGGGCTTGGCATGGCCCGTCTGCCCCACTGGCCTGTGTGCTCTCAGGGCACGCTGCATGCTTTGATCACAGCTGATGCAGAGTGTGCTCTGATATCTGGTTGGACCAGTCTGTTTCATCATTGTTCTTTTTTAAAAATTCCCAGCCATTCTTCCTTATTTTTGCTTCCAGGTAAAGTGAAGAGTGGCCCTGAGAGTCTAGGAGTTGCCTCCATGACGTGAGGGCAGGAGTGAGGCAGCGAGGGCTGTGGGCACCCTCTTGCCCAAGCCCAAGTCTCTTGACTTTCTCCCCACTGCAGTGAAGGGTGTTCACCATCCCTCCTCTCTGCACCGAGAAGAGGCAGGAGAGGGCACTCCTGAAGGTGAGGCAGGGACACACCCCACGTCGATACTGTGTCAGACGTTCAGAGATGGGGGATCTGAAAAGTGGTGGATGGAGAGACATAAGAGCTGAGAGCCTGGTCTGAGCCCGGACTGGGGAGGCGGGAGGTGAAGGAGCAGATCATTAGGAGGATTGCCGTCGAAGCTGCAGCTCAGGGAAGCAGCTGTTTCCAGATGCAGCCCATCTGGTCATGTCTCAGCAGTGACAGATGTGGGGGCCAGCAAGAAGGATCCTGTCATTTATTACGTGGCTGCTGTGGGTGGCTCTGGGGCACGCTGTGGAGAGGCAGACCTGTGTGTGCGTGTCCGTAAGTGCATGTGTACACGCGTGAGTGTGAACATTCACAAGCGTGTACACATGTGTGTCACAAAGCATGTCTGTACACACGTGTGGGGGAGTGGATTCACACATGCTCCGCAAAGACGGGAGGGGAAGGGCAGGTGGGCAGCGGCAGTGCCCCTGCTGGCTGTCCTCTGGAGCGAGGCCGCCTGGCCTGGTGGACAGGGCAGAGGGACAGAGAGGGCCTGTGCGGGCAGCAGATGGACGGCTGCCGCCACGGTGCAGTGATTAGCTGGTTTATGGGGATGAGGTGCTCATTACGGCTGCTCTAATCCAGGACTTCCCAAGCAGCCCCTCCTGTAGGATACATTAGGTTTAGTCTATTAACGCTAATTACAGGCCTCTGTGGGCAAGCAGAGAACAGAGCCAGGCCCAGGACCCAGCGGGGCGGGACGCCAACAGCCCAGAAAGAGAGCAGTAGCACTGTGGTCCTACTCGGAGTGAGGGGCAGCACTCGGGGGGCGAGGCTCAGCGGGCACGGAGGTGTGCTCACCTGCGCCCTGCCCTGGAGGCCCGGGGGTCTCCATGAAAGAGGATGGGGCAGGCATGGCGAGAGGCTGGAGTCCAGGGTGTGCGTGCTCTGCTGCAGATGTGGGGTTTAGACCTCCGGTAGCCACTTAACGAAGGGTGGGACGCGTCCTCTGGACACTGTGCCAGAAGCTTTGGCTCTCCTCATACAGTTAAGACTCTCCCTTTTGGGGTTCCCTGGTCCCCGAGACTCACTCCTGCAGCCCACCCACTCAGAGCGCTGCTGGGGTGTTTCTACCCCTCACACCCAGCACACCCACTCTTCCCAGAGCATGGGCTCAGAGACCCCTGGGCAGGTGGAGGTGCAGGCTGTGGTGGCGTTCCGGGGTGAGCCTGCCCCCCCCAAGGCCCGTTCGGCAGGCTCTGACTCAGCCCCCCCACGGCCTCGCCAGCAGACACTTCCAGTTTTTCCTGCTCTTTTCTGGGTTCCTCCAGCCGCCTCTCCACCCTTTCCCACCATCCAGCCCCACTAACACTTACCCCATTCTCTGGGGGGTCCAGCAGCCAGCCCAGCTCCCCCTCAGCCGTGCTGGTGTCCATCAGAGTCACTGCATTGGTAGAGAGGGGCTGTCACCAGGGGAAGGTTGCCCAGTGCCACCCACATGCCCCTGGGGAGGGGGAGCAACGTGCACCTCCTGACAGCTGTGACCCCTGGGGAGGGGCGTCCTCCAAGGAGGATAGGAGAGGTGTTGGGGAGGGGTCAGGGGGCCGAGTCTCAGTTAAAGCAGGTGCTGGAAGCATCAAGGGGCTATCTGACAGCTGAGTCGAGGGGGCCTGGGGCTCTGTCACAGAACCGAAGAAGTGTACGGATAGAGGGGTGCAGCTCTGGGTGGAGCAAGTTCTAAATGGGGAGGGTGAGGCCAGCAACTCCGGACCACCACTTTCCAAGACCTGCTTTGGCCAGTGAGGAGGGACAGGCTTGGCCCAGACCTGGTACAGGTCTAGCCCAGAGGGGATACAGGCTTGGCCCACAGAGGGTACAGGCCTGGCCCACAGGGGGTACAAGTTTCATGCAGGCTTCATCTAGATGGGGAACAGGCCCAACCCAGAGTGAGTACAGATTCTACCCAGTGAGTATAGGCCTAGACCAGGCCCAGCTTAGAGAGGCACAGACCCACCTTACAATGGGCTTAGCTCACAGCAGGTAAGAGACCCAGTTAAGAGGGGGTACAAGTGTAGTCCAGAGGGAGCAACAGGCCCGACTTCCGAGGGGTCCAGCCTCTGCTGTGGGGTGTAGGACGCGGCCCAGCATGGAGGGGTACAGACCCAGCTCCAGGGGGACAGGCCCAACTCAGAGGGGGACAACCCAGGTCAGAGTGGAGTCGACCTGGAATGGAGGCTCTGCCCTCGGAGAGTTGGCCCCCACCCGGAGTCCTGCTCTGAGTCCTCCCCCTCCCCCGGGTGCGCCCCATTCTGGGTGCCAGGGCGCTTCCCACTTCCGAGGCCACCCGGCGCAGACCTTGGCCAGGACGCCCGGAGCGGGGCTCAGAACAGGGGTGCAGGCCGCGGCTCCCCGGCCCCGGGCGACCTCC